TATAGTTGGTTTACTTCTCTGCATATTGCTTCCTGTTTCCTCTTGATTCTTTTTAACCATGGTAGCTCCTCTTTTCTCAGATTTGTATGCATATTTCTGAGACAAGTTTCTTCGTTATCACGTAACTGTCGCGTATATCACATCATGTATGAAGTCCGGATTGCTTGTCTGTATCTGTTAGCTTGAGTGATATATCGAAGCAGCTGATTCTTGCCTGTGATTGGAGGGGTACGCCTTCTAGCTTCTTCTAGCCGTTTAAACTTCCGAAATTAAATTATTATCTGCCGAAGCGATTTTGTCGTCGTCGTCTTCATCTTCCTTGACCGCTTCTCCCTTCGGGTGCAAATGTGTCAGACGGTACTTCCAACTTCCCCGATCCTGTGCCAGAGTCTGAGTTTCGGCGGAAGACAACCGGAGTCTGGAACAGACTCCTTTCATATATTTGTAACTTGTTAATCTTGGCTGCTCCGTGGGCCCTTTGCGAGTCGGTTCCCCTTAGTTTATGGTGGCATTCGCAACTCTTGTCCAAATTCTCGCAGCTGTGACTTCTGTATCTGTAGAAGCAGCGGCTGTATATATCAAGGTTCTGGCGGGTCTCTGTACTGCGGTCCTTGTCGCCTTGTCGAGACCTCTGTCATTCAGTTGAATATTTTGTCACATAATGTAAATAGCGATACAATTTTTGTCTCTCGTGCCGCAGCTTTGTGCGGAATGACTTGACGGATATATTGAGTTATTTATCATTTCGAGCTGTGTTGTCACCATCAAGCGCTGTTCTCCTCTCGTCCAGTTTCGGTTGTGTAAATCGTCACTGATGGGTAGATCTCGATCCATTCTTCCAGCGTTCTTTTCCGATATACCCAACCTTGTTTTCTTCCTTCAGTCACTTCTGACACGTTCCCAGACACAAGAAGTTGTGAATCAGGTCTTGTTCGCCCACTTATCGTACCCTACCTCAATTCGTGGAAAGCCTGTACTGTACTGGACGCCCAGACCGATCCAGCATACTTGTGATAGATTATGATGCACTATAATGGACATGTGGTTGATCGTACTTAGTCTAGCCTCTTGCCTCAGATCGTTCGAGCATCGGTGACCTTACTGTATAAGCCGACATTTCTGCATACATAGCTCCGTGGGTCATTGAGGCACGCAGAATTCGCCGCCACGTCAAGACTGCGATTTCGGCAGTGTCACGATCGACTAGTTTTGACCGTGGCTGCCGATAGGGCTGAGGCTACACCGACTAGTGACACTATGTTTCAAGGAAGCCGGAAGCGATACGCTTTAGCTTTAATGCCCTCTAGCTGTAGTTGTTTGTTGCGTTCAAGAGTACGACATTCACGGTCGATGACAGCACGACTGGGTTCAGCATCGTACTGTAAGGTAGAGAATACCGTCATCGTGGAAAATTAAGCGAGGTCGACATCCCGAAGGTTAACAGATCTGTTCGTGTTAGAGACATTAGGAACGGTCCAACAATTTCGAAATTTACTGCCTTTTCTCGTCAGTCAAGTCCGGAGTTACGTTGCACCGTCCGAGGCCCGATAATCTAAACTGCCAAAGCCATCTGTTTCGTTCTACTATATACTGATATATCTGTTTATGCCTTGATTCACTTAAAATTCCATATTATTGACTAGAAACAAAGGCTTGGTGCTTCAGAGCATCTTCATTTTCTTCGTTTGTCATCATAACCAGTCATGCAAAGTGCATGCAGTAGCGTTG